TTGGCTACTACAATTCGCCGATCGATCTCTTCCTCCAACTTTCCATCACTAGTAAATATAGTTCCAAGGAACTTGAACTTCTTCACCTGCTTCATTGCCTCTTTGTTAATCTGAAGAGAGCAATGGGCAAGAGAAAGAGAAGGCACAATGCTTTTCGTTCTAGATACGTTCACACGTATGCCGATCACGTCGCACTCAGCTGCGAACCTTTCTAAGGAGCACTGGAGATCAGTTTCAGAAGATGCTAATAAAACAGTGTCGTCTGCAAACAGCAACCTTCTCGACTTAACATCTCCTACACCGATACCCTCATCGCCTTGGCAGCTCCTGACTATTCTATCGATGTACAACACAAACACATGAGGTGACTGGATGCAACCTTGGCGGAGACGGGGGCAAACGCTGATAAAGTGCGACTTAACACCATTTATTCTGATGCAGCGCTTGCTTTAGGAATATAATCATTGGATGGCCCATAGCAACTGGTCGACGATCCCATCTGTTCGCAGTTGTGCCTGTAGGTTATTGCGCAGGCATTCACTAGGTTCACAGAGCATATATATACCGGATGGGCGAACTCTGACGATTTCTCAGCAATCTTGTGTAGGGCGTATATCTGATCAGGGATGCTTCTGCTGGCCTGGAAGTCACACTGCCGTTCTTGTGTCTTGGAGTAAGCTCTTCCGAGGCATTTTCTTTCTAGCATTTTTGCGTAGACTCTTTAGCAATCTTATGGAGCCTCAGTAAAGTGATGCCCCGATAATTTAAGGAATCCCTGTGGTCTCCTATCTTGAACAGCTGTACATCAACCCCCGTTCTCCAGTTTGCTGGTTTCTTCTCCGTAGCCACGTGGTAACGAACACATACCTTGTTCACCTATTGCTTTGAGCATTCAAAGGCGGACTTCAACAATTCCAGCAGCCTTGCCACTTTTCAATCTTTTTACAGCATGTCTGATTTCATCTACCGAAATAGTAATATTCATTCCCTGCTGCTCTACATGCGAATCTTTCTGAAGTTGCTTGGGGTTAAGGAGTTTCTCATAGTGCCCTTATCATCGCCGAAAAATATTTTCATCCGCGTTCCAGAGGGTGTCCAGACTTGCCCTTGAAGACTCTTGGACTACCTTTCTTTTCACCTGGTACTCGGTTTCTTACAGCATAGCGTGCCACCCACAAAATGGTGATGGTTTGGCAGCTCTGCGCCTCTTAATGCGAACATCCATTACAGAGCGGTTTTAGTCAGACCATACGATTATAAAATCGATCATCGACTTCTGTGCACAAGCTTCCCGGTACCAGGTGTACTGATGCACTTTTCGATGCTCGAGTGTTCGTAATGGACAGTCCGTTGTTTGCACAGAACCGCAACAGCTTCATGTCTTTTTTGTTGAGGTCGCTAGGGCGGTTCTTTCCAAACGCGACTTTCCACTTTTCAGTGTCTGTTCCGAAATGCGCATTAAAATCGCCCATGTCTATGAGGGACTTCGTATTCGGCACATCGTACTGAGCACAGTTCCTCAGGGAGAGAATCATATAATCCCTCTAAATTGGGCGCAGAGACCTGTTACAAGGTCAGCGCTTTAACCTATTGTAGCGTCAGTCAGAGCATTGCCACTCTTCCGCTGACTGACTTCCAATCAATGATTCTGTGTTAGGTTGAGTTCTACCAGAACACCAACACCGGCCTGAGCGTGCATCGTGATTTCGACACCTGAGTAGAATAGCTTCTCCCGCTGAGGTTCAGGAGTACAGCCTTGGTGCTTCGTTGATGAGAGTCCAACAGTGTGGAGTTGGTACTTTGCTGCCTCATCAACTAACTCTTGTCCTTTCCCTCTGAGTGAGGATATAGTTCAGTTTCCGATTGTTCGCTCTCAGTGGCGGTATGGTTTTTGTGGAGCCGTACTATAATAGTGTCGCGATGTCTGCGTCATCCTTTCAGAACGGGTAGCGACTACGTTGCTGATTAATATCGTCGTCGTCATTTTCGGCAGCCTTTGTTGCGCTGCTACGCTTCCATCTCTCTCGGCTGCCAGAATGCGATGAGCAGGTTCTGACCACCGACTTTAGGCAGCCTCCTCCATTCTCTCAACGGTCGTGCTGGTATGATGTTCGATAACAAGAATACCATGAAGGACAGGTTGCTAAATTTCACGGAGACCGCGACGGTCTCCAACTCTCATCGTTTGTTATCCAGGTTTGGGATCGCAGCGGTAGTTTGAACAGCATGTTTTATTTATCTAGAATTGTCACTGCGTAACTTATGGTCTTTAATTCTGAAGTGATTTATTAGTGTGCTTCCGTTGATTCATGTTTTAGGACAGCATATAAAACTACCAGAAGTTCGATGTTAGTATAGCACAAAATACTGTATGCGGTCGCGGAAGAAAGTATGAAACCGCCGTCTCAGATGATATTAATGTGCAATTAATCAACGAAAGGACACTAATAGATCAGTTCATAAATAAAGACGAAACATTGCGTAGTAACAATTCTAGGTAAAT